TTGTTGGGAATCTCTTTGGTTATATTAAAAATCATATTTTAATTTAGGAAACATAAATGATTTCTTTTAGCATCTTGTATATTATATTGAAAATTACAAACTTTTATGTGGAAAAGCAGAACTCCTTTCCAGAAATGGGTTACAGACAGTAGTCTCTTCCGTAGAATGTCAGAAACTTTTCCCACTCCCTGCTGTATATCCTTTTACTAATAAAGCTGATTTTAGATTTTCAATCAACTAGTCCATGTGTCTGTATATCTTAGCACGGTTGGGCATTTGGTTCAAGAGGGAAGAGAGTACACATTATGAGGTTCTTATCAATAATTGAAGAGTAAAACTGACATATATGAGGCAAAGAAGTTTAAATTATGATTAAAGACCATGCATACTTGAAAATAAATCAAATAATACTCTGAAAAGTAAAAATATAATTATTTAACTAAAAAACTCAGTGGATGAGTTTTATAACAAATTAGACACAGCTGAAAAAATTGGAGAACTATTTAGGAAATAGAACCAAAGAACTTTATCTAGAATTCACATCAGAAAGTAAGTTGGAAAAAGAAGTTAAAAAGCATAAAAGATATAGGGATAAGTTTTTATAGATGTCTAATTGGATTTTTACTAGCAGAAAAGAGAGGAAAGGATCAGAGACAACTTTTTTTATTTTTGAGATAGAGTCTCGCTCTGTCCCCCAGGGCTATAATGCAGTGGCCTCATCATAGCTCACAGCAACCTCAAACTCCTGGGCTCAAGCATCTTTCTGCCTCAGCCTCCCAAGTAGCTGGGACTACAGGCATGTGCCACCATGTCCGGCTAATGGCTAATTTTTTCTTTTTTCTTTTTGTAGAGGCGAGGTCTCGCTCTTGCTCAGGTTGTTCTCAAACTCCTGAGCTCAAGTGATCCTCCCACCTTGGCCTCCCAGAGTGCTAGGATTACAGCTGTGAGCCACCGCGCCTGGCCAGAGACAGCATTTGAAGTGATAATGACCAAAAACTTTTCAGAAATGATGAGAAACAATAATCCACAGTTTCAAGAAATCCAATTTATCAGTGATTAACTTTATATTTCTAGTTGATAAACAAAGACCTTAGAATTTTGACTAACATTTATCCACCTCCTAGCTCATATGCCATTGTTGGTGGATATTTTTAGTTCACTTTTTTAAAAGCTCCACAAGTCTGCTTGCATGCAGGTCGGAAGATTTACCTGCAAATTTACCAATTTATTTGTTATCTATTCCTTCTGGTATTATATCTCAGTCCTTCATTGAGGACCAATCTCCTTGCAACACAAAGATATCCTTAGAAATTACGATCTGCTAATGACAAGGTGACAGAGACATACCTTTGTAAGCAAACCTTCAAGATACGTTATGACAACATAGTTCCTTCTGCGTGAGTACCTATAAGACTCGGTCACATATCTGGCTATCAAAGGCAAATGTAAGCATGCTTTCATACAGATGCCTCGTACACTGTTTTCTTTTAGCGAATGGAAGTTTTTGACAGAGAAACAAACATCTTTGTAAGCAAACCTTGAGAATATGTTCTTTAAAAAAAAGGAAGCTTAATTTCAAGCTTGTTCTTAAGAGATATTTTTGCTGGCCTATTGTCAATTTATCAGAAATATCTGCCAATTCTAAACTTCTGTGCACTTAAAAAAAAGAATCTTAAAATATATAA